TGATTTTTGTGCCTCAAAAAGTTGCAATTTGTCTTTTTACCTTTGCTCTATCGCCGCCTTTGTTGCCTTCCTTTATTTCTTGTTCCACTTTCAGTTTTTTTCTTGTTTTCTGCTGAAAAATAAATTGAATTGTAAGTTGAAAGTTTTGCCATACGGACTGCTCTGCCGGCCCTCTCAACTTCTGTGGGTTTTCGTTTCCATTTTATTTGGAAATTAATTAAGTGTATGCAGTCAGCATAACGGTTGCCTCAGAAGAACCGTAACAATTTTCACTTCAGCGTTTTCATTTTCATTTTGATTTATTGATACAGAACATAAATTTTATGTTCTTTTATCCCTCTGCTTTTGGAGATTACCCAAATGAATTAAAATAATGCAAATGAGCCGCAATATGAACTGTGGCTTAAACCCAATGGCAGATAACAGATAACAAAGCTAGGAAGTTTTTCATTTGGCTTCTTCTGTTTCTGTTTTTTCGTTGTCTTCACCTCGATGATGGCTATTGCCCTGCAGCACATTCTAGATGGATAGTTGGATAAATGGTTGATGCAGCTGCACTTCTTTCAAAGAAGGGTGACTTTCCAAGAAGCCCTCGGCAACAGAGTTTTCTTTTAATGAGTCGAGGAGTTGCTCAAAACATGGTAAAAGCGTTTAAAATAGATAGGGGTTTATGGGGAAACTGATAAAAACTGCTCACCAGTTTTCTTTATTTTATATATACTCTGGAATGATATTACGTCTCATATTTTTTAGAAAAATTCATGTTTCCTCTTAAATAAACTTACTTGAAGTTTTCTGAAGCATTTAATGCTCAATGCTATAAAAGTTTCGCTTTGAAAGTTAAATCTTTCGTATATTTTGGCTTTATAGGTGAAGCATAAAAACGTAATTTTCTCCGGCACTGTTCACATATAAAAGATATATTTCTTTTTCGGATTAAACACAAATGAAAATGAAATCTAAAGCAACCAAAACGTGGGGATCGCTTAAAAAAATGTTCGGTGCTTGAAGATAAAACAAAAACATTTATAGAACGAAAACCAGTAGCAGATGCGAAACTGCCAACAGTTTTTCCTGAACGATGGGGGAAATTCCATGGCGACTGAAAATGCATTTTTCTGTCGCATTTCCTGCCTCAGCGTGGAGCATAAAATAACAGCAAAGCAACATAAACACGTGCCAGCCCAGTCTAATGTCGGCTATTTCCTGTTGGCCAAAAACCGTAGGCCAACAAAAAAAGTGGGGAAAAACAGGCATGCATAAAAGCAAGCGTCACCGGCAGAAGTAAAAGAAGCGTGGAACGACAGTGAGAATTTGGTCAGGGGAGAGTCTGGACCCGAGTTGGGTTATTTTCTAGACAGCTTCCACCGCTCCTGCCACTTTTGCCATTTGCCAACCACTGTGAATGGTGGGCGCCACTAAGGAAATGAGGACAGAAAAAAGCCGCAGAATAAAAGGGCAAAAATGCAGGAGCATTCAGAAGGAACAGTCCAGGGAATACCCTTCAAAAACTTTCGACTCATTGCAAAAGTGATCAGGAAGTAAAGAATAACCTTTAAAGTTAACTAGGGGCAACACAAAGTTAATGTTTAACACATTAAATATACTGCACATACTAAAAACAAAAGAATTCCTGGAATATCTTTGGTGACAAAAATTAAACATTAAAATCTCTGCTATCCTAATGAAGCTAAGTAATTAAAATAATTGCCTAAAATCTGAGAACGAACTGGCTAGACGGCCTAAAAAGTTTATTTAAAGTAAAAAGTAGAAAAACGCGGCGATCAACAACAACCAAGGGCCCAACCACACTTGGTAACACCGAGAGTAGCAGCAAAAAAAAAGCAGGTAGTTAGAAAGGGAAAGAGAAATATGTTAATAAAGTCGAGGGGGCGGGGGTTAGGCATAGCCTAACGTGATAAACGCTGGATGAATGACCTCTCTCTTTTAAACGTACTCTTCTTTATTCAACTGCCAACTTTATTTAAGTCAGAAACAGATGTATCTTCAAGTGGCACTGAAGAGAAAATAATGAAAAAGATACAATTTACTAAGGGGTTTTATATTCAATGCACTTAACATTTTTAAACTGATGATAGGAATTCACTGAAATTACTTCTGAAGTAAGTCATAATATATTATATTAAATAAAACATTTTTATATTTTATTTCGCCAGTGTAGACCAGAATTATTTTGCAGCTGCGGAGATGTAAACTTTTCCGCCACTGGCCATCCTTCTAATAGGCCAACAAAAATCTTGGCTGGATAATGATGCACTGACGACTGCAACTGCATGCTGCGTGTCCTGCCATCTCTTTCGCTCTCCCTCCTGCCGTCTCTTTCTCTGTTTGTGGCAGATACTTAGTTATGCATGCCTCTTCTGCCACTTCTTTTTGTTTGTGTGTTTGTCTGCATTTCTTCTTCCGAGTTCATTGCCGCGACTCATTCTTTTTCCCCGCCTTCAGCCTCGCAAACATTTTCCATTCTGAGTGGCAGCATAATCGTCATTATCATAATGAACACCGAAATCATAATCACCTCACCGCTGGCCCTGTCTTCTTGGCTCACTCGACTACCCTTCAGTTGGTGTTCATTAGCTTTGTAAGACCCGCTTTTCCACTCTTGACACACTCCCCGATCATAATTAAATTATCCGAGAGGGAACCCCTCCGACAGTGGGAAGAATCCGAGGAAATGGTTGTGGCTGCGGTGCCCAAATCACCAACTTGGCCAAAGGAAATGGTTTACGACTTGTGGAGGAAACAGCTTGACGCAGAACTTGTAGATTGTTTAAATCGTGAAGTGCTGTGGTGCAATATAATAGATTGCTGGGAATCAATGTTCTCATGAAAATGTTTAAGGCAAGAGGGGAAAATTGTAATCTTGAAAATAATCAAATAAAAATTTAAAAAATAGGTACTTATACAATTTTATAGTATTTGAGCAAATAGGGTTACCCTTAAATTACTAAGCTAACAAGAAAGACGTTATCTGAGCAGTTGATTAAAAAGAAAATTATTGATAATCACCCAGCAATCAACATTAAATCCATTAATTGCTATATCAACCACTGTATGGTACCTGCGAAATACGATGGGGCAGGTGATGGTAGGCAGTCGCCATCAGTCAGGCACCCAGTTTCCTAGAAACCATAATTTGCACGCTTTCTTCTCAAAACCCAGACACGAGTCTCAAAACCCCCCTCTCCACTCTCCCAAGTTCTTGGCCATGGCTTTAACACATTTTCTAAATATTTTCGAGTTCACGATCAAGATCAACGAAAGAGAATACAAAGTCTATAGCCGCTAATGAAGCCGGCGAAGATGCTGTGAGAAGTAAGGCGGAAATGGGGGGCCCCTTTTACTATATATACGTATGGTATATATACATATATATATATTCTAGCCCCCCCTCCCTGAACGCACACATTTTGACTTTCATTTCTTCATACAGTTAGACACTTTTATTGTGTTTCACATTACTTTTGTGTGTGCAAGTTGCGAGTTGGTTTTCCTCCCTTCTCCACGGGCGTTTTGTTTGCCATACGTTTTGTTACTGTTTGAGTTTTTGTTTACTCGGACTTTTCCTGAATTTCTATTTCCAGCATAGATAACCATTTCTATAAGCAAAGTGCGATATTTCACAAGAGTCTCGCCGGAATCGAGTTGACTAAAACAATACGAAGCGCATTATTTCTGTTCTTCTGTGGCGTTGTTTTTCTTTTTCGAAATTCGTTGTTCTTTCTCAGGAGTTTTTCCTTTTGTTTTGCGTATTTTTGGCATTGCTTCTGCAGCTTTTTGCTACTTTTTTTGCGTGAGTTTTCAGGAAGAGTTTCCAGCAAGGTCGTGGACTTTGGAAAGAGTTGTGTTTCAAAGGGGTTATATTTTACTGGCAAAAGTGAAGACTGATAACATATTGCTCTGCGCGTTTTGATTTATTTTATAATTTCTTTGCTCTACAAACCCCCACTGGAAAGCCTCGACTACGCCATTGTTGGCAATAATAGTTTTGTGTGTGTTTCGGGGTGAATTTGCTTAGTACCAACAAAGCAAATATAAATTGCCAAAGATTAAAGTTGCAATCGTGACTCAGGAAGACTGGAGGAACAGCAGCGGAAAATGGAAGTCACCAGCAAGAAGAGAATCAAATTTGGACTCGAATTACTCAAAGGAAAATTTCAATTGAGATAATAGAACCTGATTTAAGATGAAATTAATGGTAATGCTGCACATGTATTATTGCGATTCGTGGAAAGAGCTTCTTTAATTGGGAGAGAAAGGTTTTCTAATTCGATAAATATGATACCTCGGCCATGAAATGATAATTATTCTGAGTCTGTAATTTCTTTGACAAAAGCAAACTCCATTTTCTTCAGGCTGAAAAACCTTTTCGGAATTAAATTAAGCCTGAACAGCGATTGGAGAACCGAAACAATGTGCCACGCTGGGCACAGTTTTTCTTTTTTTTCCAATTTTCACACAGTCGAGACTCGCGCCCATTTCCACTCGGAGATTTCGGGAGGAACTCGCTGGGCAGACACTTGTGCATATTAATTGCTTATTGAGCAGGCTTCTCTGCTCTTCTCTTCAAGAGGGGAGCTCGAATGGAACACAAAACCAGCGCGACGAGAAAGAATTGTTTGGGAAAATCCTCGTGCACGAGGAAAGCCTTTTTTTATTATTCTTTATCAGTTTCAATCACTCCATCACAGCCAGAAAAAAAAAAAAAAAAATACAGTAGGCACTCGCAAAGGTACATTTTTATGGGTTTAAGATTGGTTATGAAAAATTGCATTCTAAGTATGGTAAAGCGAAGATGAATTTGCTTTTTATACATTTAGCTTGGCAAAGTCCATCAGTGGATGGTTTTACTGTACTGGGACGTAGTTCTTAGTTGTGGCTTTCATTCATTCACTCCGACGCAGAGGCCCTCCCTCAATTGCTCATTCCCTCAGCCCAACATTTATTCATTCATTCATTCATGCAAGTCTCCTTCTCACCTGTTTGTTTTGTTGTTGTTGCTGTTGGTTCTTGTCCCTGTCTCCCTCCCTCGCACTCGTCCCGTCCCTTTTGCTCACGTGCTAAAACAAGCGTTTTCCGGCCAAAGGTAGATTTTATTTATTTTTTTTTTCGGGGTGTCAGAGGTCGCGGGCTTCGTGGTTCGGGGGTCTCTTTGTTGCAGCCACTTGTGCGCCTCTCCCTGGTTTTTTCCTTTTTTTTTTTTGATCGTCACTTGGCCCTTTACTGGTTGACAAAATGCCAAACGCTTGAAATTCCTTTATCCGTTTTTTTATTTTTCCCGTTTTATGCTCGAATCTTTTTTTATTTTTCAGTTATCGCGCGGTTTAAAAATTTGGTTTATTTTTCTGTGTTTAAATGAAATAAAAGGAATAACTTAATGCTGTTACCGCTTCTGTTTGCGTTTTTTATTTTTTATTTTCTGTTGTTGCTTTTGTGTTGGTAACCTTTTCCGTTCTGTGCACGTGTTTGATTTTCCCTTTTGGCGTGGTTGTTGTTGCTCTCGGCTTTATGGCAACCTGTTTGCCACTGGAATGTTTCCGTGTGGTTTTCCCAAAAAAATTAAAACTCTGACTGGAATGCCACAAGTAATAATTACGATTGTACTCAAAAAACTTAATAATTTTTATTCTTTAATTTGTAAACACATTTTTTTGTGGCGATATATCAAAGGAAATTCTTTAGTTGTTTTTCGACTTTGGTTATTGGAATACAAAATTGGAATTCTCAAAAAAAATATTTTTGAAGAGTGTTTTTCAAAAGCATTTGATTTGAAGCATTCGAAACCACTTTTGTCCATATTTATATTTAATTAAAAAGAAATGACGCCACATAATTATATGCAAACAAGCTGCCAAAGTTATTTCGTTTGATTTACATTTCCGTCTGAAGTATTTATCCAATTTTCCGCAACAATTTAAACAACAAATAAACAAATCAATTAACGGTTTTAAAATTTTGTCGGTCTCGCTACAAGAAGTCGGTCAATCTGTGAAGTCTGGCCATAAGTGTGTGCTTTAAATTTAATTAAGCCTTTTGCTGTTACTGCTTTTTTCTTGCTGTTTTATCTCTCGATTTTTTCTTGATTTATTTCAGAGCCAAAGATGGAGAGACCACTGTCGGCTGTGGCTTATACGATGGATTCTCTGGCTTTCTAAACCCAGATGATGCACGCTCCGCTGGCGCTGCCCACTCGAGAGCAGCAACAACAACAACAACAGCAAACTAGACCCGCCGCCTAACGGTAAACCAAATGAAAAACTTCTATTGATAGAGGCGAAGTCTCGGCCAAAGTCTCTTCTTGGCCAAATCCACTATTCAACGCGGCGACGTCACGGCGCGCATTCGAGAATTCTGGACCAGCTGGAAACCGTTGTTCGTTGTTCGTTGTCCGCCGCCAAATCAAAGCCAAAATAAAAACTGGTTTTCAAACAGGATTGGTGTTTTTGTAGCATAGAATGCATATTCGCAAGTGCAAATGATAAGCGGGAAAAGCATGCAGAAATTAACACAAACAAGCACCAGAACACACCACGCGTACACACACACACACACACACACACATAGAGAACCGTACGCACTCTCGTGATTTTCCTCTCACGTTTTCCCGGAAAAACAGCGTCGACGTCCGTTGCGCTTGGGCCTTAAAAGGTGACTAAAACACCAAGATTGAGTGGAGCTCTGTCCAATGTTAACGCTTAACAGCGGCGTTTCACGAAGCCAAAGCAGCGACGCAACAGCGAAACTTCGGCTTTTGCGGTGTTAGCCGGCTTTTAGCCCTCTGTTAACGGGCATGCCATGCAAGCCAAGTTAGTACTTACTTTTTGGCTTTTTCGGGGGTGCATTAAACCCTCGCGAAAAGTCTGCTTTCGATTTGCTTGAGTGGCCAGACATGCAGGGCAATTTATTGGCTTTCAATTAACTAACAAAATTAGCAAACTGTAGGTAATAGTTTGCATGGAGGAAGCAGCGTGCAGTCGCTTGCAAATTAAGCCAAATAATCCATTACAAGTTATTAAAAGGTGTATACACAGCTATTGAGAAATGGAAACAAAAACAAGTAACTGGAAGCTAAATTAAACAGTTGGTAATTAAAAACAGTAAAATTGTATAAAAAACTATAATTTATTTAACTGTTTTGATGATTATTGTGAAACAAAAACTGGTAAAGAAATTAAATAATTTTCAAATAATAAATAGAAATGTGTACAAAAAAAAAGGACAGTTAATTTTTGCATTAATTAATGTTTTTTATATCAACAATGCACCAACATCAAACTGTTTTCTAACATAAACCACATATATGAGATAACAGAAGGCGACAACATCGTAATATTCACAGCCAACTGAAATCGCCGGCTGGATTTACAGGGCTCGCCAACTTAACAGAGACCACGCACCGCAGAAACAAAAAATAAAAAGAACACAAAACCAAGCCGTAGCAGCCCCCCTGACCTACATGCCAAACATCCTCTCGAGGAACGAGCACCCACTGAAAACACAAAAAAAAAAAAAGGAACAACTCACAAAACTTTAAGCGCAACTAATTATGTGGGGGCAATATACGAGCATTTTTGCAGCTTTAAATAGTTGAGTGTTAAGACGAGTCTCTGAAATACCTGGAATACTCCACAGTTTTCATTCACGTTCGAGTTGGGCTTCAAAGATTTAGCAAGTTGCCCGAGAATTCGCAAGTTATGTGAATGCGTTTTTCCATAAGCTTAAACTTGCTACCGTACTTCCTCTTTTACACTTTCCCGCTCGAAAACTTTTCAAATATGTCTGTCATAACTTGTTCTTTTGCATGCGTGGAAAGCGAGCAGTGATTTTAAATGTGTTAAAAAAATATTTTTGTTTAAAATAAAGTAAAACATTTTATATTAATATTATATTAAAAAAAATAATTTAAATTATTTCCAAGTTAATTTATTCTTTTTACTGCGATTACTGTACTAGTTTTTGTCATTTCCTTTTTGTTGCCTGCTGTTATTGTTTGGGTTATCTCCTTTGGGCTGAGTGAGTTGTGGCTGTAGTTGAGTTGAGGCCTCAAGGCTGCATTTGGCCTTTTATTGTCTTTTCTGTTTGGCCTTTCTCGTCGTTCGCCTCGCTCGCTTTTTGGACTCATCTTTGCTTTCCGCTTTCTCGCAGGTGACGTGGCCTATTAGCAGCGATAAAAGTCGAAGACGCTCAACAACAAAAGGATATCCGGCTGAAGGAGCAGCGCCGGCAGGAAAATGCCACCAGCAGCACATGTGCTGCCATCTCCCTTGCCCCCAAATCTCCCCTCTTTTTCTGCCCTGTTAGATTATGCACGCGGGAAATTATGGCTGAAAAATTAGCGCGTTAAATATGTATACGGTAATGGCGATATCTTAATATGGCGAACGTGACACAAGCCCTCCGACCTGAAAATGTAAATAATTTCCCTAATCTGCCGACATTAAGCTGATTTCATGTTTACATTTCATATTTAATTGCACAAATTGTTTACTCAAAATTTAAAGTGAAGCAGGTCTCCTACTCCCTGTCATTAAAATCATCAACCTAGCTATTATCAGGAGCACTTTCCATTTGTTAATTAGCCAGTGGATTATTTATTTACCATCTAATCCAAAACACAGGAGACAGTCTGATTTGATTTAAGCGCAAACACTCGTATTTATTTAGTCTGCATTTTGTCGAGCTTAATGTGAATAATTTGGAAATTTGGTAATCGGATTTTCCTGCTGGGCAAAACCTTTAAATATTTAAGTTGTGGCCTTATAATTTATTGTAAAGGTGCATTCACATTAATTTCTCAACGAGCCTGAAAAGTATGCTTTCTTTTTTTACTGGCTGTAATTAATAAGGGATCCAGTGCAATTTTTTCTTGCTCTCATTAAACTTAACTTTGGTTCCGATTTCTTATTCAAGACCCTGAGTTTATCAGGTTTTTGATTCTCACTTTTAATTGGAGATTGATTTATGCCTTTGGTATTTTTTTTAAATAAAGTTAAATCGTAAAAAAAAAATTTGGATTTGTATTCTTTCTTTCAGCTTTTTCCCTCCTTTTAACCATTGTCCACTTAAGCTCAATTTTACGGATTCTTCTCTTGTTTTTGCTCTTTCCATTTTTGACTTATCAATGTCGTCAGCGTAATTCTTCTTTCACTCGTTTTATTCATCAGTTCTAATTGGCATTTAACAAGCCTTTCGTTCGTTTTTTTTCTTCTAACGCTTTTAAACTTTTCACTTGATTTTCTTTGCTGTTCGGCTGGAATAAATTCGAGGGCCACACCTATTAATGTTAACTCATTAAGCACCGCTAACCATAATCCCACTCTCCGGAATTCTGAAAGGACATTCCAACCAACAAATAAAAGGAAGAGGAAAGAAAACCAAAAAACCGAAACTCATTCCAAGTCTTGGGACACGTCGCCTCGCATAATTACAACTTAATCGCTTGACAAACAAAGCAGACGCCCCCACATAAACAGCAATAAAAACAATAGAGGAAAGTCGGGGGAGGGGAAGATAATGCCTGTCCTAAGTTTTAAATGGCGACCCAAAGTCACTTTAAAGACTCCTCGGCTATTCGGCTATGGACATGCTGTCCCCCCCTTTTTTGTCACGCCTTAAATAGTTAATAGGGAGTAATGACAGCCAGAGGGGAGCTTGAAAAGTTTCTCGGTCCTTAGCTTTTGAAGTTTTGTCTTTGGCGTTGCGTACTCAAAAATCAATTAGCGCTTCGCAGATTTAGCGAAAGCATGTTTTGATTATTTTTTAGTTGTTGGACTAATGCGTTGGCTTGTATGCTTTTTTAATTATATTGCAGAGCAGAGCATATTATAAAATTATATGTTAAAAATACAGCGAAATCCCCTCTCTTCCGCAAGGGTCGACATATCTTGCAAAAACTATTTTCATGTTAGGCGACCGCCCGCAACTCCCGCAAAATGAATATTTCATGACAATTAAAATGTTAACTCTGTCGAGCGGCACGCACAGGACCCAAACCCATTCTGCATTACATGACTCGGTTTCTCCCTGCCACACCCCCTCTGCCACACACTCACATAGGTGAAACCCAAAATAAGCTTACACTGACACCTGATGAAGTCCCCCATCCGATTTCACCCCTTGCCACCTGCCACTTGCAGCACTCGGACGAATAATGTTGCGGTCAATTTCATTATCCTTGCCCATGTCCTAGGTACACTTTCAAAAAATGATTTCGGTCAAAACATATTTAGGAATTATAATTTTTGGTTAATATAAAAAAAGAAGAAGAAAGTCTGGCTAAGATGCTTTACCTAAGTATTAACTAATTTAAAATTAACCCATCTATTAGTTTTATATCTTTCATTTTTGACCAGTGTACTTTTAGCGAAATGAGCGTTGGCTTATAGGAATTACGCAAGGATTTCGCGGGCCTTCAAAGCCACGCATTCGAAGGATGCAGCGTTGGCCGCTCTGGGGCACCCTTATTACCGAAAACACCAGAATCCTATATACCCGTGTTAGGACGTGCATGCATCACTTCATTAGGCATATCAATGTCACTCGAACCCCCCCCGAACGAACCGAGTGGCATGCATCAATATCCTGCTGAGTTGCAGGATGCAGGAACTGACCCATTGCATTAACAAGCATCATTTGTCTACAGACTCAAAGGATGCCAAGGGAAGGGAAAGTCCTTCAAATGATAACCAGTAGTAAGGGATTCTACTCATGCCATTGATAAACTGTACTATGAATACAAAACTTTTTCACATACTTAACACATAGACTATAAAAATATAAAAATATAAACATCTATTTGGCATTATAACTCTAATTAAATAAATTCCTGCCAGGTGTTTACGCCATTTTTATAATTCAACTTTTTAGGCCATGAACCATATTTCAACGCACCATTTTTTACCGATTTTTCCCCAGTAATTCAGTGTTACTTGCGTACAGCATTTTACTCCACGAATTGTATGTCATTGGCAGAAATTTCGCGCTGAAATGCAAATATAATTAAACAAACAGCGCAAAAATTCACACAGCATTTCGCCATTAAAATTACACATTTGCCAATTATATTTAGAAAGTTGATGGCAAATGGCTAACAAAAAATTACAATACATCCTGTCCAATTATTTATTTAAATGTATATTTATTTAATGTGGAAGCAAACATGCCCGCTTGTGTTTACGTTTGTGTGCCCGTATATATCTATTATTTAGCCAATTGAAGTGACTTATTTATTAATTTTACCGAGCAAATATGAATGAGCGTTAGCATTTGATTTCAATATGTTTTTAGCATTACAAAACACAGCGTTTCATGTATGTATATCGATACTTTTTCTGCTAAAAGCTCTCCAAAGACACATATATAAGCTCATTTAAAGTATATTTATTATTTGCCTTATCTTTTTGACTTGCACTGTCCACCGCATGGAAAATATAATTGATTTTAATGTTGAGCACACGATTTAAGTG